GTGCGGTTGAGCAAGAGTCGCCACCGACTTTTTATTTTATCCTAAAGGAAAGGTTAAAAAAGCACAGCAAAAAACCTTTTGAGATATTTCGTGGGTTCGGGGGGTAGATTATGAAAAGGGAAGGTATTAGCACCCTTTTCATCCATGGTTATCCATGGGCTCTTAGTTACTTGGTTTTTTAGATCACTTGCCTTGATTTTCGATTGCTTGAAAATGGTGTGTGAGTGCTTTTGAAAATGTTTTGGAAGAAGATTCCTTGTCTTAGGCTAACCTTGTAATAATTCTTTACTCGAATATTTTACAGAGGCGTGTATCTTTTCGAAAAGATGTTTCAAAATGTTTTGAGAGTTTGTTTGAAAGTGTCGTGGATTGTGGTTTTTGAAAAGAAGGCAAGTGTTTTTGCAAGTCGATCTCAAGTAACTAAGAGTTTTGTCTACCCTATTGTACTCAAAGGTTTTTGTTATGTTTTAACCCCTTTTAACAATTTTGTTCCACCATTGGATTTGGTGGACAATCTTGCATTTAGGAAGTTTATTCGGGACGGGCGCGGGTCATCGTATGGACCATGAATGCAATGGTGCCAAGTGTCTTTGGCAATTTGCTTCGAAGGGACTATGATCATTCCGTTTAGGCAACATTTCGAGAGACTTATGATCATTTGATTTTGTTTTGCCAAAGATACTCGACGTGCAAGCATGGCCCATTTTGGAGGGCAACATGTGGGATTACCCTAGAGGGTGCAAGTGTGATTGTGTATTGATTTCATGTATTTGTCTTGTATTAGGTTATCTAGCGTTTGATTTTATGTACCTGCAAACCCTAGGTCTAACCATGGTATAATTGGAAAACTGTAAATTGCGGAAATGTAAAATCTACGCTATTACAAAATAGTATCCGGGAGTGGGGGTATAAATGTACAAATGGGGATGAGACTTATAGTATCCAATAAGTTACAACCAAATCGAAATTGCGATCAAATGTAAATATCGAATATACAAATATAAGATAAACAAATGCGTATAGGGCAATGTGAATGTATTTGTGTAAGTGTACAAGTATATGCGTATATGATTATTTACAGGTGCGATAATGTGAAATTGAAGTGTATTAGGGTATTTGACCTAGATATGTGTTTTAAGGAATCTTTGATTTGTATATTCGAAATATGTACAAAAAGAAAATTGTTTTAATCGTATGTTCAAGTTCTAATTAAAATATGTAAAAAATGATGTTTTAAGAAAAGAAAATATTTCTAAGCTTTGATTATGTATATAAGAGTATATTTCATTTGCTATGTACAAAAATGTTTTAAGAATTTAAATTACGCAAAAATGTATATTTACTTATTATGTACAAAATATATTTTAATTAAAAGAATGGAAATGTATTTTCAATTTTAAATATATGATGTAAAAAATGTATTTTTATGTGTTTGATATTTCAATATGTATTACAATGTTTTCAAATTAATTAAGTATATAGGAAAGTATTTTAATTATATGCTTAAAGAAGAGACGTATTTTTTTACTAAATGAATTATATTAATTAAGAGGGTATTTTTTATTAAAACTATATTAGGTTAGAAAATAAGTACATTGTTTATAAAAAAAAGAAGTTAATATTAATATTATTTTTTTTGTTAAAAGAAGAGGAAGCATTTTAATGGGCTTAGGCGTGCAGAGTGGGCAAGGCCCATGTTGATTCAAAAACAATTTAGGGTTTGAAGCTTTTCTTGTTCATTTGGATACGCTTAGGTTTTGAAACAGCGGCGGCGTCCGTCTTGGGGTTTCGTCTTCTTCGATCGTTCGCTCTTTGCCCATGGATTCAAAGCTCCGACCTTCACGCCCTAGCCACCGTGCCATCTCCTCCTCCATTTGCCCTCCTCCATGAGTCGTTCACGTCAGGTACGGAGGTTCGTTTTCGTTTAAAATCTCATTTCGTTTTGCACGTCATGTTTTTTCATTCACTTGACTTTTACTTACTGATTTATGTGAGGTTTCGAAGAAAGAGTGAAAGAGATTATACCTTGGCGAAGGAGGAGGAAGGAGGCACTTGGGGGCTTGACGATGGAGGGGTGGTGAAAACGCTAACCGGCTTTGAGATCCTGGTAACTTTTATCTTTTTCTTCTTCCTTAGGGTTTGATGATGATTCTCGTACTGAAAACCTTGTCCTGAAACCTCACTTCTTTCTTCCTCTCTTTCGCCTTTACTGTCTTGACATTTCTGTATACTTGTGAACGATGTGCCTTTGGAATGTTGAGCTTGTTGCCTTGAATCGTTTCTTCTGCTTGTCTTGAATGTGTTTTATTGCCCAATGATGTTTTCTACTGAGGGCTCGTGGGTTTGGACACTGAGTTGTTTTTAACAGCTTTTTGTTATCTTTCTTCTTCGTCCCTGAATTGCCCTAGTTCTCGTATGCTTGCCTTAGATTTTGCTGCCTATTTTCCACCCAATGATGAATTCAGAATTCTGAGGGGTTGTACCTGTTGCCTCTTGATTGCCCTTTGGAACTGTTGATTATGACGCCTTGAGATGAACTTCTGAGGGCTTTTATTGCCCTTCTGAATGTTTCGGTATCAGTATGCTGGTTTCTTGCCCGATGATGTGTATAGTGAGGGTTTTATGCTTGAAATGTTATGGCTTTGAGCTGGTTTCTGTGTTGACAGTAGGCCGGTATTTGGTGATTGACAGGTTGTGTTGGCTATGAGGTTATGTGTTATGCTTAGGCCAGTGGGACTGGTTTTGTTGTTAGGCAGGTTATCTGGTTTAGCAGGTTTCAGGCTGATGCAGGTAGCAGGTTTTAATATGGAGGTTATGGCTTCTTTTGTTTTGCTGTATGCTCTGTATGTTTGTATGTTTGTAGGTTTGTATGTTTGCTTGGCTTGATGAGGCTTGGCCTGGTAACTTAGGCTTCAGCAGGTGGATGCTTGGTTTGATGAGGCTTGGCCTGGTAACTTAGGCTTCAGCAGGTTGATGCTTGGTGCCCAGGTTTTGAACTGGCTTCAGGTTTGATGTATGATTCAGACAGATTGTTGGTTTTAGGATGGGTTTGAATGGGTTGAGCTTCAGGTTATGTCTTTGGCGTTATGTTGTTTTGGTAAGTTTGATGCAGGTTTTTTTTCCTTGACAGTAATGTGAGGCTTCAGGCTTTTGTATCTTTTCTTCTCCTCTACCTTTTTGAACTGTGTTGTTTTTTCTTTTGTATATATTTTCTTCTTATCTATCCTTCCTGTCCTGCCTAAGCCTGAAAAACCTGCTTCTATCTCTTCTTTTTTCTCTCTCTCTAGTACAGTTGGATATTATAAATGTTTTATTTCTGTACTTTCTCTGAAAGGGCTATTGATGGGAAATGATGATAAAAGGAAGCTTGCTTGCATATAGGATTTCCTCTGCATCTTTATCTTTCTTTGACAGCTTGCTACACTTTGTGATATCTTCCATATCTTTGCCAAATCTTCTTTTGACAGCTTGGATAGATTTTGTATTTTGACAGTAAATTGCACTTTTTGGTCTTTGATAGAAAGTTGGAATTGGATTTTCAGTTTGGTTTGAACTTACTTCTGAACTATGCAGTTTGACATTTTAAAAAATATGCATTTTGACATTTTGCATTTATGATAAAATTCTTCCCTCTTTGTGAACCGGGAGAAATCCCGTGATTTGCAGAGAGGGTCAACTGATCCCAGTCAGTGGCCCTTAATGATGACTGCAAATTTTATCTGTCTTTAATTAATTCAACTGCTTTTGACTTTTCCTTTTCTTTTTGCAGATGAATAATGGAGCACCGGAGCGAAGTGAAGAATGAAGAATTAGAAATAGGATAGTTTTCTTTTTATTTAAATTTAAATCAATGTAAGACCAATGTTTGTAATTTAAATTCCAAACATCAATTGTACATTTAATTTAAAGATAAATAAAAGTTTCCATTATCCAATTTAATTCTATTTTCTCTTTATTGCTTATTTATTTATTTGAAACTCTTGGAATTAAAACAATTGAAAAATAAATTTCAATCACTCAATTTTAGAATAATAAATAACTTAAATAAAACAATGTCTTAGTAATATTGATCAATTAAACCTGTCTTTTCCAATATCTAAAACAAAGCAGCAGTTAACCAAAATAAATTGATCAAGCGCATTCCTTTTTTTCACTGATTCTTTGCCAGGCACTGTAATTCCAAACTGCACATCTTCTTTGACTGGCTCAAACAAAACAACATGAATTCAACCCAACTGCCTCTTTTACTGATTAAGTCAAAACAATGCGAATCCAACCCGAATCTTGGAAAATCTTGCAAAGTGCTGTGGAATTTTAATTTTGCTGAGAATATGCCCATAAAACCTTAATTCTTGATTAAATGCCAAATAACGCTCGCCTGATCAAAATTGAACCAAAAATCATCCAAAACCCTAAGCCAACTGTGAAACAATCCAGAGTCCTGAAAATCAGTAAAAACCCTAATTTCGCTTGACTGACAAGAAAAGTCCGTTTGTCCGATTCTTGAGTCAGTTTGAAAAATCAGGAAAGGCTTGAAGCTGAGATCTCTTGGGGAAAAATGCGAGGGCAAATTTTGGGGTACAACAGTTACCCTCCTCTATCCCCATATGGAGTTTAAGCCTCATGGACCCTTTTAAGGTGGTTCGGGATGGGGAGCTGGTGGACTAAGAATTATTTATTTCCCTCTTTCCTTTTTGGTTGTAATCTTGTTTACCCCTTTGAAGGCTTTTGTAATTATTTTAAACAACAACGTCCCTTTGTGAGCAGCTTTATATTAATTGCTTTCATTGTTAATTATTCTGTTGCCTTGCCTTATTTTGAAGATGTTTATACATATGGCCGCTTCTAAGGCGGTGTGAAGCCCTTCTCCTGAGGGATTCATCATTTTTACTCATACCTATGGGCGGAAAAGATCCCCTCCTAGGGGATCTGTTACTTTTAATTGCCTCTATGGGCGCCAAGGGTCCCATCTCAGAAAATCTAGTGTAGTAATTTCCTCTATGGGCGGCAAGGATTCCATCTTGGGGAATCCAACATATATAATTTCCCCTAAGGATGCCAAGGATCCCATATTAGGGGATCCAACATATATAATTGCCTCTATGGGAAACAAGGACCCTATCTTGGGGAATCTAGCATATATAATTTCCTCTATGAGTGACAAAGATCCTATCTTAGGGGATCCAACATATATAATTGATTCTATGGGCGTAAAGGATTCCATCTTGGGAAATCTAGCATATATAATTGCCTCTATGAGCGACAAGGATCCCATCTTGGGGAATCCAACATATATATTTCCTCCATGGGTGGCAAGGATCCCATCTTGGGGAATCCAACATATGAAATTTCCTCTATTGAAAGGCTTTCTCGTGAGCATGGATTTTCTGCAAAGGTATGACATATTGAATAGATATAGATAAATAAGGACGAGATGCCTCATTAAAAACCCTCGCTTCCCTAAAGACGTAGAGGGAAAAATGTATCTCAATTAACAGCTTGCCCTTATAATTGGCAGAGTTTTAATACTCGGCTATGAAAAAATGTCAACTAGGTAAACAAATAACAAAATATAAAATAACTACATAAATGAATAATAGAATCGGAATGACTACATAGATGGTTTCAGAAGAGAAGGGAACATTCCTTCTTGCTTTCAGGCTTTATCATGTTATGAGGTCGGATGGAAGGCTCTGTTGTTCTCGCTCGCTTCATCGGGCGACATTATCTCATGGATGACCTTTTTCCCCTACTCTTGGAAGGTGTGTCCTCTTTAACTTGAGGCTTTATGCGTAACACTTCTTAGAAATTTCCTTATCTCCTCAGACAACTCCCACTCGCCCATTGAGGAGCGGGTATTTTATGCATAAATACATGGTAAATAAGGCGGCTACCAGTTGGTTAAAGGTTGGCCATCGAATAATCATATTATATGAAGAAGGAGCGTCAATGACTATATACTTTACCTTTATCTATTTGGCACGGTCCTGCTCTCCGAACGTGATCCTCAGGGTGAGGTATCCTTTCACTTGCACTTGCTCTCCTAAAAATCCGACCAACGATCCCTTGAAGGGCTTCAAATCCTTGGGATCGAGACTTAGTTTGTCAAAGGCGTCCCAATACAGTATGTCAGCGGAGCTTCCTTGGTCCACTAGGACTCTTTTGATCTACCATTCTTTGCATTTGACGGTGATGGCCATGAGATTATCATTGTGATGGACGCCAAATAAATCTTCTTATGAGAAGCCAATCGTGACTTATGGCACTTTCATATGTTGACCTCATGGAGGTTTTTTATGCTCAAAACTTGACGGGCATATCTTTTTCGGGCGGAGCTGTCTCTCTTCCCCATAGAATCACCTGCTATGGTGATAAAGGTATGACATGTCATTTTACTGCCCTCGCACCAGATTGTTTCCTTGGATTTGTTTAGCCTAGGATGTTCAGTACCTTCCAGTCCGTGTGGGTTATGTCTCTCTGTTGGGATGGAAGGATGTCCCTTCACATATTCTTGAGGTGTTCCTCCTGTATCAGTTTCTCTATTTTCCTTCTTAAATTGATGGCAGTCATAGGTATGATGTCATTTGACCCTATGGAACTTACACCACCTTCCAGGTTGAGATCCTATTACCTTGGCCTTGGGGGTCGGTGGTGTTGGGATGTTGTGCAGGTGGAGTACGTTATGCTAGATATATTCTCGGTGAAAATCTCGGTTTCCTTCCCCGCTTTTTTAATACATACTTGTCCTTCACATGCGAGGTTGAACTATTTTTCCTAGAGGGATGAGAGCTCTTGGTGCCTGGGATGCTCTCCTTGACATCATGAGCCTTCTTTTCAGCATTGCTTTCCCCGCCTTTGATGTAGCACTTATCCCCTGACGACTACTTTGGCCAGTGTGAGTGTTGGCTTTTGGGCGAGGGATTCATTAAAGTGGCCCACCTTAAGTCCATTTTGGAATGCCCCCCGCAAACATTTCTTGGTTCGAAAGGACAACTTTGGTGGTGGCTTCATTGAAGCAGGAAAGATAGTCTTTTAGCGATTCTGACAGAAATTGAAGGATGTTAAATAGGCTGGTGACAAACATCTTTCGGTGGCGACTAGCGACAAACTGGTGTACCATCTTCCTTACCAATTCTTGATAGTTGTTAATTGAGGTACGGGGAAATCCCATGTACCGTCTAAGGGATTCTTTTCTAAGGGTGGTCGATGATAACTTACATTTTAGAGAGTTTGATGATCTTGTGATGTCCATTTGCGCGTTAATGAAGGCTATGTGTATGTAAGGATCACTGTGTCCATTAAACTTGACAAGTGATGGAGTTTTAAAACCTTTGGGGAAAAGGGCTCCCCATATTTCGTCCGAGAGTGGCTGGGGATCCAGCAATTCCACCTCTTTTGGGGGGTTGACCTCCTATTGGCGTTGTCTGATGTTTAGGACGCTGTCTTCCAACATCTGGTTGTGACATCGAAATTTATCCATGGTGGCTCATATCTTTGTCATGGCTTCGACATCGCTTGTACTGCTGGTACCTTCGGGAGTAAGGGATGAAGCTCTTTTGTTCACCAAGACCGATAATGGCTAGGTGTATGAGTTGAGGGTACGAAGGGGAAGGTGATGGTTGTTAAAAAAGGTGTGACCTAGGTTAGTTTAACTAGGCCCTACATTGGGCGTTAATGTACTAGTCAAAAAGTACAGGGTGTGTGTGTTCCCCCTGCAAGGGCAGAAAGACCCAGGGGCCCTTGTAAGTATATTACTCGTTTGGATAGTGATGGTGTGCTCACTGGGGAAATAATCCTTGTGTGGTGATTTTGAGGCAGTTTAAGGGACTCGCTCACGTGAGGTGAGAGACCTTATAAATGACCAACATTGCTTTGTTGCAGAAGAGTAGTTAGATTGGTAGAATATGTTACGGTGGTTAAGAGCGTAGAGCTCTTTGAGTAGTGGAGAGTGTATATGACTTAAAGTCTCTCGTTTATCTTCTTGAGGGGTATGTATTTATAGAGACCTCTAAGACCTAGGGTTTCCTCCAGGTCATGGTCTTAACCGCTCTCATCTTTTTGGGAGAGGTTATTGACTACCTATCTTCTCGGAGTCAGCATGAATTTTTTCTTGCTTGACTCCCACGTTGGTGGAACCTCTCGAACGATTTCCTTAAATTATACCTGAGTGGCCTAATTGTTGGGCGAAAGTCCCCTAATCTAGGGCTTTACCAAATATAACACTACAAATTATTATTTAGTTATTACTTCATTATATAATTCTCTAGTAAATATTTAAATATCTTCTTACCTTTATTGATGATAACTTTTATCAATTCACAAATAAATTTGATCATTAGCCTAAATTTTAGGTTCAAATTTTAGAGTTTTTATTTGATTTATTTATATGTTAAAATTGTGACTTAATACTCAAGTAACGTATAAATATTATAATTAAGAAATATAAAATAATAAGATTAAATATAAATATTGTAAAGAGAAAAAAAGATAATTGAATTGTGATTTTAAAGAAAAATTTCAGCTAATCTCAAGATACATCACGCCCGATGTAATTTGATTTTTAGATTATTAATTTAAAGATGTATTAGTAAAGGATTTCTACATTCGCACGGGTCGCGAAAAGTCAATATAAATATTTAATAAATACTATATAGTTATGGTTAAGAAATATATATTAAAATATATATGAATTAACAGAAAAAAGATTTCAATGATGATTGTCATACAAATATTAATTTAATTTATCAAGTTGTAATATTTGTCAGGATATACATAGAAATTATATTAAAAAATATAAGTATATGATATAGTACATTTCATACAAACATATATAAAATCGATTATCTATCCGTGTGCCGCACAATATCGTTATAAATAGTAAATATATATAGTATAGTGATGGTTAAAAAATGTATATAAAAGACATATAAATTAAGTAGTTTCAGTCTGTCGAAAATGTATATTTTAGTTAAAAAATAAAGAAAATAATTAAGTAGTCATCTACATGTGTGTTCACAAGGGTCGCATAATGCCATTATAAATAGTAAATTAATATTAATATAGTGATGGTTAAAAAAAATATATAAAAGATATACAAATTAAGTATTCTTGATCCATCAAAAATATATATTTTAGTAGAAAAATAAAAAATAAAAATAATTAAGTAGTTATTTACATGTGTGTTTACACGTGTCACACAATGCTATTATAAATAGTAAATAAATATAATATAGTGATATTTAAAAAATGTATATAAAAAATAAACAAAATTGCGTTTTCATAATTAAGTAGTTATCTACATGTGGATTCGTACCGGTCTTATAATATCGTTATAAATATACTATAAATAGTCATTTACCCGTGCGTTTACACGGATTTCGCAGTGTAGTTAAAAAATCATGAACAAATATAATATAGGGATGTATTGTACTTTACTATAAATAATAATAAAATTATAGTCGGTATTATGTATAAAATATTGAGACCTGTGCGTTCAATTAATTTTGATAACTCCTCATTATCTATAAAATCATTTAACCTACGATCACGTTTTAATATATTCATTTTTAATTAATTTATAATAAATATTAATTATTTATTTTTTAATGACTTTTCATTATAAATAAAAAAATCTGATACCCATGTTTCCAATTAATTCATTTTTTCAATTAATTCTGTTACCAAAAATTATACAAATATATTTGATATAACTTGGTAATTGCTAGTAAGCCAAATATATGGGTGAAAAAATAGGTTCGGCCCATCGCATGCCTATTAATTTTATAATTGTTTATAATTTTAATTTTAAAATTTTTATTAACAAATATTATACAATAAAACATATTATACACAAAAAAAAAACATATTGGTTTAATAACAAATTAAAATTGATAATAATTTGATTAGATTTAACTAATTGAATAATATTATGTTTGTAGAAATTATATGATATAGTAACTCAGAAATCATTAAATATATGATCTCTAATATTTGTTCAATTTAAGTAAATATTTTATTATAAGATAATAATTTAAAATTTAATTAGTGGAAAATTTCAATCCCTCCAAAAATGTTTTGTAATGGATTTGTTGAGATTTACAACCGTATAGTTTTTTTTTTTGAAAGATCATGCAACATAACTTTTATGTAACATAACTTTTATGCAGCATATCTTTTATTGGTCATTTTAAAAAAATAATAAAATTGTATATTCATAAAAAAAATTGTATTCATTAATCATAATTGTCTCATATTTTTTAAAAAATAAATAAATATTTATAATAATTTTTAGTATAAATATTAACTTTTTATCATTAAAAAAGTTAATATTTTTCAAATAAATTTTTAAAAAAAAAATTGTTATTTGTATTTATTATTTTATTCTTTTCGATTATTATTTTAAATAATATATTTATCTCATTTCAATTTTCATACAACCGTGGTATTGCTCAGCTAAGCTCCATGTTTCTAAATACCTAAAGAATAAACAATATTAATAATAATAAGTAAATTATAATAATAATTAGTATTCAATTAATTTTGATAACTTCTTGTTACCTAAAAACCCATTTAACCTACTATCACGTTTTCAAATATTTATTTTAATTAATTTATAATAAATATTAATTATTAAATTTTTAATGATTTTTCATTATAAAAAAATCTAATACCCACATTTCTAATTAACTCACTTTTCTATACTCGGTAACAAATATATTTTTCATTTAATCATCTATTTA